TCTACTGGGCACTGTGTCTCTTTCTAATTCAAAGGCAGTGATTTTCCCTACTCACATTCCATTAGGTCGTAAATGGCTCTGGTCTAGCAAAGGTGACGTGGTTGCCATGGTAACCAGTGGCCTGTGGTCATTCGCAGACATCCTGGCGCCCAGTCTATTGGGTGAGGGGTCTGTGACGACTTGTTAATTTAATGAATAACTGATTTGTTCAATCAAATGAAAAATTGTGTTTTTGATTGGTCCAGACGCTACATAAGACTACTCTTATTGTCAAATTATCACTCAGAACTTACCGATGTTTCACAACAGGCTTAATCTCTGAGGAAGTGAAGTAGAGGAGGGAAAAGGAAGATGGAGAGCATTCCTATTCAGATTATGCTTATTGCTTGGTGCTCAAGATTATGGTTATGCCCTAGTATTTGTCTGGATGACTTGTGTAACAGGATCATAAAATTAGAGCACGTGTTGAAAATAAACAAATAAAGAAAAAATAGAAGTGTCTCTGGTTCCTTTTGAAGTTCAGAAAGAACATCAAATCAAAGTGGAACAAAAGGGGGCATAACATGTAAATGGATTTAAAATTAGCTGACTGCTATTATTAAAACAGGGTAATCAATCTGGTATTAAGAACAATCAGTAGCACTCATGATTAACTGTAAGATTTGTGTTGGGCAACACACCATGGCTGGTCACAGCTGCTGCGTGTTCAGCTCCCATGCCTAGATCATACCATGTGTGTGCCCCGCCCTCCGTAGCGTGTTATTCACTGTGTTACTAAAAACACACAATAACTTAATGATTCTTCTCTAGATAGACAGTTCAAATGTAATTCAATTTAGATTTAATTAATTAGTAACTGAGCAATAGCATTCAGGAAGGATACATCTAAGGTAGTTGCATTCGCTGAGACGAATTGAAGATGGGGAAACGTAGAAAAAGAACAAAAAGAAGAAAAATAAAGTGAAACATTCAAAACCAGGGATTAGGTTAAATTCAAATTATTCACACTGCTACACACATGCTGTATTTAAAAACTTCAAGTAAAGAGTGCTAACCCCTAATTGTTAAAAGTTATTTGGTAGCTTAGCCTAAGATTTAAACTATGCTAAGTCGTGTTAGCTTAGCTGCTTAAGGTGGTTTGTTTCCAACATGGCATCACCAGTGTGCTATGTGGAGTTAGCGCTTCCTGTGACAAGTTGTTGTCATGGTAACCAATGCATGCCAGTGCAATTCAAGCAGCTTAGTGTCTGCCTATTTCAAAGAAGTTGCCCACAGTTTTAAAATGTGGTGTTTTCAGTCCTTCAAGACTTGTTGCATTAAATAAGCACTTCTGTGAGTGCTTCTCTAATTTAACAATAAACTTCTTGCACTTGTTTAAAGAATAACCAAAATGGGTTAACTGTAAGTTAAAGCCGGTTTAAACATATATGTAATTATGTGTGCCTCACACATGAATACTAAAGTACAGTTTTACATCTTTAATTTCACAGTAAAAAACAGTAATGACCACCAGGTTGCTAGGCTTGTATATATATATACAGTCAAAGTGTAGATGAATTGCTTCAATCTAATTATAAACTATAAGGCCTTTATGCTGTAGAAAGAGGAGCAACACTCAAATCTACCTTGATATAACTGTACTGAGATATCTTCTTCAAAGAAACAATTTAAACAATACTGCAATTTTGTGATTTCTTCACTAAAGCATGATACATTATGGTACAGTTTGGACATGCCGCTGAGCTGAGATTCAGACTTACGCTTTGTCAGAACAGATTTATACTGGTCTGTGAATGTTTGTTAATCTAATGAATAATTGATTTGTTAAATCAAATGAAAAAGGGTGTGCCTGATTGGTCCAGATGCTACACTGTGTTTACCATTGTGTTGCACCATGTGGTGCGGAATGAACCAGGACTCTGCATTTTGGTCCGCTTCCTCTGCAGTTATCTTAGCCACATAACCAGCTGACTCCAACTTACGGATCTCACTGCAGTAAACGTTAGCCCTCTCAGGATCCCGTGCCAATCTGCACTCAGTACACCGTAAAGTGGGAAGAACCGCTGTTTTATCTGCATGGATTAAGCTCAGAGGGGTTCATCTCAGCAATGGGGTAGCATATTGTTGTACACAGTCCACTGTCACTCTGATGGTGGCATTTTGCAGCAAGGTGTAAGTCTCTTTGTTCTGTTTATGATCTCTGCTAGACACAGACCGGTAGCAGTGAATGCATTGTGTATAGCAAACTTCCTCATGGGCTTGGATACTGACGACACCTCAAAAGATACAGATGATCCTGCGAGTTCAGTGTGACACTGGTGAATTGTCTGCAAGGGGAGCAATTCAGGGGTACCAGATAATTTAAGCTGCTGCACTACTGGCTGAAGCACTACTGTTCTCTCTGACCCATCATCAAGAACTGCATGTGTTTCCATAGTCCGTTGACCAATGTGTAGAAGGACTTTAACCACTTTCAGCATGACCTTGGGTGAACGATTAGGACGATCAAGGTAAATCCTGGTAGGTGGCAAACTGACCATGAGAACAGCCCTGGAAGTGTCATTAACAGAATCATGCAGAACTGTAAGATGTAACTCTTTACAGACACCACATGGACGCTTGAGGTTGACGACCTCCACTGCATGTGTTCGGCCACACCTCCAGCAGCGCTTTCCCTCTTTAATCCAAGTGATAATTTGAGCTGTAGTTAGTTTCTTAAACTGGTCACAGGCATTGAGGTAATGTTCCCTGCTATCACAATGAGGACAATATGGCCTGGGCTTTGGCTTTGAGCTAGATTTCTGTGCTGCAGCATCAAGGCCCTTTGGCCTATCTCACTGGTGAACAGAACAGGTGTAGATCGCTCCTTTGGATGGGTAGATGTTGTAGGTTTACCATGGGACTTGGGTGAGTCCCTCTGAAACAAGGCTGCAGCTTGGCTGGAAATGCGTTTCGCCTGGGACTTAATCTCTAACCAGGTGGCCAGATCGGGGAGTGTATAGGTTTTGTCTGTGCCTGTCTGGAGAATACTCTTGCTCAGGCAATATTCAACAAAGCTATCACGACAGGCAGGTGGCAACTTGCTGAGCAGACGATCCACATGAGAGCCACACATGAGCTCATAACCATTCTGGCCTTCAAGAGTCCTCAACATGCCTACCGATGATTGTACCGATAAGGCAAAGGAGTCAAAAGCATTAGCATCGCCCAGTCTAAGTGGTGGACTGTTCATGATGGCACCCAGCTCGGACTGCACATGTTGTCTTGGCTGCCCATACTTGTCCTGAAGTGCCTGCAGCGCAGCTGAGTATGGATGCGGATGATACATGTAGGCTTTAGCTAGCTGCTGAGCACTGGCAAGCTTCAAATGGCTTAACAGGACGTGGTATTTGTACTGCTCACTGAGATAGCTGTGATTACTTAACAAATTGTCCAATGCCAATTTTAACAGGGCAAAGTCACTCTCATTACCACCTTCAAACACTGGTAGCTTAGGTTGTGGGATGCCATAAGCTGAGGCAAACAGTAGTTCTGTACCAGGGTATGCAGAATGTGTGTGGGGGAGGTGCAGGAATGAGGGTGGCTGAGCAAAGCTAGCATTAGGTGGCATAGCTGATGCCTGCTGGCTAGTAACTGGAGGTTGCAGCTGATGTGCATGTGTACTCACTGGAGGTATCAATGATTGATGTATCACATATGTGATGTATCACATATGGACTTGTAGGCGGCAGTAGTAGGCTGCTGTGGCACAGACGGCATGCTCATACTCATGGGGTGCGCAGCAGTGAACATAACTGTGGCTATTGAGGAAGGCTGAGGTGCCACATACGATGCTGACATCACTGTGCATAATGGTGCAGTTATAGGGGTAGTCTGAGATACTGTAGAGACTGGTGATGAAACTGCTTGTGGCAAGTGGAGTGCTAGAGGAAAAGAAACACTCACGGATTCAGTGGTAGGTAATCTCAGCGCAAGTGGTCTAAGTAACAGCTGTGACGCATCATCCAGCATTATCTGATCAGCTGAGGAAGGCCGTACGGATGATGTCACTGCTGGTGACTGAGTAAAGGGTTGCTGAGACAACAAGGGAGACTGTGGACTCATGGCTGGACTACTCTGATTAGGTTGAGGTGGAGGCAAAGTGCTGGTTGGTGAGCCTGAAGGCACAGGAGTGGCTGAACCAGTATCTTTAGTAAGCATGGAAGATACAAGCTTTGCTACCTCGAGTTCAGTCTCTGCTTGTTGCAGCTTGCGCTGTCTCTCTAGATGCTTGGACAAAGCCTCATTAACTGCGAGAGCCTCCTCTTGAATGCGCTGAGCTTCTTTTGCTTGTGTCTGCAGCTGCTGATATTCCATGTCAGCGAGTGAGTCCTCCTATATCTGCTGCCGGAGACTGTCAAACTGTCTCTGCTTAATATTCTCCTCCAAAACAGCAGTCTGGACATTAGAGAGTTCTGGTGGAAGATAAACGCCAGTGGAGGTAATGGAACGCCTACTGGTCCTGGAATGAGAGCTGGTACTGCTGCGAGACGTTTTCCTCGAGCTGCTTCTACGTTGACTGGGACAGGGGATAGAAGCTTTAGGAGGATGGTCTTCTGTGGGTTGGTAGCCAACCTCATAATCATCCAGGTGAGGTGGCAGATTTGTCCTGCGGCGAGGTCTATCCATTGTCTCTGTGTCACTTTCTGTTGGGTCCATACTTGTTTGATGTAGCTCTCAATCCGGCTCGAAGGACCAAACTAATGTAGTAAACCTTACTACATTTAATTTACAACTGGTTGAGGCGGCCAAATATGGACCACATTTCAGTGTCAGAGAATCAGGAGAGCAGGAGAAGTCTTTAGATTGAGACATTTATTTTACTCCAATATATGCATCTGCATATGCCTCTGTTATGAAATGAGATGGTTTGTATTATATGAACACATTACAGAAAACATAGCAGCAGCATAAACAAAGACAGACAGCAGTCTTCACTGGCAGGTAACACTACCCGGACAGCACACGTACGTCTGGTCGACGTCGGCCCAAGAGTGAAACGTCGGCCTCATTATCTGAAACATCGAATAAGTGTCGGCCAGGCATAGGTCGATATAATTCGGTCAGTGCTCTGTTTCTCAGCTCATCAAGCGTCGGCTCTGAGTCGGCTCACGACCGGAGGCCGATGCCGCGCTTTTCTGTTTGCTGGAGCCGTTATTCGTCTCTTTTTATATAACGTAGCAACCTACAGAGAGAAGAGACTCATCCCGCGACATCTGGGGCTTTCAGGTAAGATTTCACTTGAGCTAAATTAGAAAAAAATTCCATTTTGTTAATTCTGTGACACTTCAAGGTAACGTTACAAGCACTTGGTGTGCTACAGCACAGGTGAAGAGACTGGGGCTCATTTCCAACTAACGGTAACTTAGCTAACAGTCACGATAACTTAGCGATTTTTAATATTATTGTTAGCGCCTTAATGTATTTCCAGCCATTTCTCGGAGGGAAAATGTTATTAAAGCGAAGTCCTAACTGCTTTTCCGCCGTGTTTT